AAAACATTGAAACATTGAAAGGGCGCCAACATCGAAAATGCCAAAACTTCATTTCAGAATAGTTGACAAGTCTTAATACTAATAATTGTAGTCCATTGACATCGTTCGCGTTCTACTATTGTATTCTGCCAGTCTGTGATCATCCCATTCGTATAAAACAATAATAAAGGCAAATGCTTCTGAGGACACTTGCACCCAAACACGTTTTATTATCAATATACCGAAAAATGATATACCAAAATAAAGGTTCTTCATAAAACTTTGTAGAAATAGTGTACATGAAAATACAGAGACTCTCATCTCACAGCCAGTAAAGTTAGAAAATCTAGAACATTCTTATCCCCGTGACTCAACTCTCACATTTCAGAGGAAAGACTACACCTCTAACTAAAATTTTCGAAAAACATCCATCACACAGTCCTCTGATCTAAACAGACTATCATTCACTTTATTCTTAACAAAAACAGTATTTTCAGCTCCGATTCAGAGGATGGCGTGACATTGTAACAAGTTCTCCAATAGTAAACCGAAAACTACCATTCCAAGCACTAACCTTCAACGTAAAGAACGAGTACCAAAGAGCAACGAGATTGTTACACGAGGATTTACCAAATAACAAAAATGAAACAAAACACCTGGAATTGGCACTGAGTTTTAGAACAAAGGAGATGAAAGATTGAAGTAAAGACTTATAAAGAAATCATTACATTCAGGCACGACTGTGTACTATTCGATAAACTCAGTCAAAAACTCCTTGATAGTATCCGTGTCCCACTTCTCTATGTTATATGTTTGTATTCGTTTACCCGAATGGTCCTGTAAAGGAACTATACGAATAAGGCGGCTACTTAACCCACTGCGGTATTATTTTGTACATAAAGATCTTTATTCTTGGAATCTTGAAATGGATTGTAGGGACGCATCATTGTAATGAAACTGTTAGAAGGTAAAAAACGTACTTTCAAAACAATCTGAGGGGTAATCCCTCGCACCTGACGAACTCGTACACTATCACCCCATGGGGCGGCCATATTTTCTTGGACGAATGCTGAAATATTGCACTCATTCCCGTTCTCAATAACAAGAGTACTCTGAATAACATCTGCACACAGAAAATCTATGAATGGAACAAGCTCAAAAACAGTTGTAAATCAGCTAAGGCTGACCAAAGAAAAGACTTTCCGATCCCAAACAATGCACAGTCAGTGCATATGAATCCCAGGAGGAGCCAAAGCTATTCGACTCCTAAGCAAGGAAAATTCTGTTGTTTTGGACGATGTCGATCCAATCTTTTTATCTGATGTGATATAACGGCGGCTTTTGACGCCATTTTTCTTCGTATCACGTTCACTGTGGAAGCATATCATCAAAAAACTATTCATACTTGTTTGACCTTCAACGCTTCTAGACAATTCATCAGTAACGATTTTGTAAAAATTCAAATCAAAAGCCCATCATCCAGGTAGTGGCAAAGTTAGCAAAATTGGAAATGAGATAATAAAATTAGCAAAGAGAAGAAAAACATGTTTAAGGGAATACTCACCTTGAGCTTGTGGAAATCGGGCAAGGTTGCAATCACAGACTTCTATGTCAGCGTAGGGGTATGTCTGAATCATTTTATCAAATGATAACTTAACACGTTGAATACCATTCAACTCTTAATTGAGATGATAAACTCAATTCCAGAAAGGAGATAACATGTGTCATCGTATAGGGTACAGTTTTGGATGTAAAGTCTTCCTTTACCCTGAACTAGTACAAAGATTTCCTTTTCTTTGCTCCGAGCGATTATAAATCCCAAAATGTGTTGAAGGTACAAGCACCGGGAGCACAACAATAGGATATCCGCGATCTTTGTTCACCATAAGGTTGATAGTATAGTGTTTACAATAAAATGGTGGGGCACGCCTTGGAGAGGGAGTAAGGACGATGACTTACTTGAGTAGTGCGCTGCTATTAAAAACTCATGCCACTTCAAAATATTATAATCTTGAAGCAGCCAGGGCACTGTATTCTAAACATAGATATGCCAAAGTTAAAGAACAAAAACAAATACAAGTAAGTTGACACTAACCGGATGATCTTCCTCATCCTTGGTGCAACACGCCAAGCAGTCAGACAGTAAGAATTCCAAGTTGAATTTGGGAAGTGGTCTGCATGAGGAGCACTATAAAAACCTGCCTGTATTCAAAAACTAGAGCAAATATAGAAATAGGGTCAAGCACGGCGCAGTAAGCAACGGCTTTATTGGTAGGACACCAAAATCCTCCTCATACGAATTACCATACCACTCCTTTGAGATCTTCGATTACTAGGGATTGCGGGATTTCGTACAAAAATAGGAACATGAAAATTGTCCAGGCTCATTTCGGCTCATCATATCGGTCAACCAACTTCACTTCGATATCGTGGCACACGCTTGACCCGAATCGAAAATCTAACTAGTTGTAAGAGCAAGAATTCTTCACCTTTAAAGACTCCGGGACGAAACCAGCTTCTTTACATTCTTCATACGTCAGTTCATATTTCACATATTCTGCAGATGCTAATACAAACAGAATGACTCCTATTAACAATCTCCGCATCCTTAAAAATCAGTTTGTAAATAATTATGGCACATTACAGTTCAACATTGAACGCGTACCCTTGATCAAAAACGCGAATTTTTCGCGTTTGACGAGCGACGCGGCTGTGCGACAAAAATACCTAGTTTACTTCTTTCTACAAAAATGCCACACGTCGCACATGGAAAATTCAAACAAACAATAAGGGCTCAAAGTCAAAAACGTCAAAAAGAATGCGGCTTGGAAGGCATATGGGTCAGGAGGCCCGCTCATATCGCCTTTAAACTACCTCTTTCATATGTCCCCTGACATAGAAAAAGCGTTTAGCAGAGCTCGACCAACCCCCTCTTGGCAAGAGCCTCAGCATTACCCAAACAGAACTAATACAGCGCTGATGACAGGGAGCAGACAAGCAGATTGGGAACAACTGTGAGCAGACGGTCCAGACCCAAACTTAATAGTATGGCACCTCCCAGCTTCTAAGTGGCAATTTGGAGAAGCTCATAACATTAACAAAAGAGCCGCAAAGAGCTTGCCCAAGGCTTGAAGTTATTTACTTGCTCCTAAACTTACACCCTGGTTAATCAGCGGATGAGTTATGCGAGGCAACTGTCTATTTTGGATAGGTTTCTATTCATTTTCCAGCATAAATATTACACCATCTAAGCGACTCAGAGAATCCCCATGGCAACGGTTGGTTGATCTTGTTGGTGGTTAATATTCAAGGGCCTTTCAGATGAAATAATTCAAACGAACATCTGGAATACGACTCTCCAAAAAAAGGATCTTTATGAAGAATCTCCGGTCATAAAGTCTAGTATAAAAGTATAAAAGAGCATTATGTCCAAACATACAACCGAACATCTAACCAGCTTCACCAACAATACACAAGAGTTCATCGGTGCAACGAAGACACAGTTCAACTAATTAATTCCTTGCCTTAAATTCAAACTGGAAGAAGAGAACATAGTTGTAGATAATCAGAAAAGCAAAATAAGATGCACCTGTGACACCGAATAAAAGTAATCCATTACCAAAGTTACCCGGCTTATTCTACGTCTAGTTATTCTCAATAGGGCGCCGCAACGGTTTCGGAGCGCTCTATTTTCGCGATTGACTTGGAACTCAGCCAAGTAGGAGTTTTGGACGAGAAACCTCAGGAAATACCACCTCAGTTTACTCCCATAGATTTTGGTATTGTCACATCATTTTTTGATGGCCGCCTATTAATGACGGGGTAGCCTGACTATGAATTTTAGGAGTATAGACTGTTGAGAATAAAAATCTATTGACCAGGGTACTGTCATCGGTACCTCTGTCAGTACAGCCCATTTACCATTATTCGCTGCAGGAACACTGCTTGTAGGATGGCACACCCGTAACCCGCCGCCAAATATGCCAGATTCCGATTCTTTCTGCCTTGGAAAACCCATTTGTGGTGTAGTTGTAGAAGTAATAGTGGCCGTCTGGTAGAACAAATATTTCTTCTGAATGTGGTCCAGGAAGTTGAAGGTGCATTTCACAACAAAATGTTTCTAGGATTTCTCCCTAGGATGGATCTAGACCTCCAACGATAGCATAATGGTGTTGGGTCGAAAAGTAAAGGTTGTTCTATTCGCACCGGGATGCACCCCAGCCGTATCAGTGGCACGCTTGTTTGAACAGCTCATTCAAATACCCTTCCTTCGTGCAGCTTTTGTCGTCATATTCTCTTGCAACCCCTAATTTTACTACTTTTTTTGAAGCTGTGCACTTTTGGAATGTGCCGATATTCTCGTTTTCTACGCCACCACGCGCTATTCGGTACAATTACTTTCATTATTCGTCTGAGACTAGATACCCGAAAAAGTCGCTAACTAGGGTTTCAATAGATAGACGTTCGCTGCCTATTTAGGCTCTTTATAGGATTTGAATGAATAAGCAAGAACCTCATACAGTAACTTAAGTAGCTGGCATAAGCAGCAACTCAGCAGAACTGCTCTGCCGTGAAGTGAGCGGATACGACTTTTTTAGGTAATGCAGCATAGATCGGTGCGGTATAATGACAGAACAGTCCGTAAAGGAAATTTTCGTCAAACAAAGAAAGCCACCATTGATTCGTTCGTAAGAAAGATACTCATAGGCTGCAGTATTCCTACTACTTTGCATTTTAGAGCCTCTTGTCTGCAGCCAGCGCTGGCATCGTGCCAGCAGCACTTCTGCAATGAGAGTTGGCAAAACGTCAGCGGGCGCAAACTGTAGACTTGAATGGCGTTTCAAGGTCTGCTCGTTTTTATTTCTCATCATACACTGCTCGTTTTGTGCTTTTTGTTCATCTGTTATTCCATTGTGCATTGCTTTCTTCATATCGTTCCATATTGCTTAGATATTAAAATGGGCAATGCTCGCTTATAGTGATTAGTTTGAAGAGTTAACGCGCATGTAACGGTTTGAATGACATTCACCGAAGGCTGTTCTTCTACATGTTATTCCTTACATGTTAAAGTTAATGGATGAGGGAAGAATTACTGCCAGAGCTAAAGCTGTTCTACTTATTATCAAGAGCAACTCTATCACTCTGTTGTTTATCTACTATTTCTACGTATGCACTCTGAATTTCGGGTGCCGCGCATTTCCCTCGAGCACTGCTCCGCTCGTTTGCAACCATATATGGAGCGGTTGAAACGAAAGGGTTCAAAGCTCGAGCAGACGTCTCGCTGCAACATAGGACAAACAGCGGTGTTATGACCGTCATCGCCTTATTCTTCTTTGTATCAGTACTAATAAACATTCGAAATCCACTGAACCACTGTACAAGGACTGAAGTACTCTTCGGGATCGCAAACTACATTTCACAATGGATCGTTCCAATAACTATCTTACTATAGACAAATTAACCATCCGTCCTCAATTTCTAACAACGGCGTTTGGAAGACAACAAAAACGCTTGTTTTACCGCTATACGAAGCCGATTTCTCATGTTGCCGGAACTCGTTATTCACCAGCTCAGTAGCAGCAAATAAACACACTTCCGCCTTTATCTTGTTCCCTAAAATCTCGGTAGAATGTGAAGAAGTAAAAATAAAAGTTGTTCGATCCTATCTCGAATGTCGAGTTCTTTCTCGGTATTCGTAATAGTTGAATATTTGGGCTCCGAAGACCCCGTATCCAGAGAGAACACGTTCTCAACTAAGTCTCCCATCCTCAAGATCGCAAGTCAGCAAGCCAGCATTCAACACTGTTTTTTTGCATGTGAATATTGGAACTCATTCATCGATACATTTATTTTTCATCCAATATTCGCTTGTGGCAACAAGGACTGAAGAATTGCATGGAATGCAAAAGTCAACAACGTTGCAAGTGATGAATTACAATTACAATGTCAAACTACAGAAACCCGACAATCATTAAAGAAACAACGATCAATGTGCAGAAATATCCATTCACGTGAAGTTATATCAAGATGGTACGATATTCGAGGCAACTATTATATCCAGAGAGGAAGTGACAAGGGGTCTGAATAAAGGCGAGACAGAGAGCCATTTGGGGACGTGGCATCCTACTCCACACCCAAACATATTCTAGATATTCTCGTCTCCTCTAGGTGGACCTTTTGCTTGCTCCCCCTCTTAAGGCAATGCTTAGCCCACTTATAAAGTGCTGCGTTCAATCGCTGGTATTGCGCATTGGCTACGTACTACNACAGAGAGCCATTTGGGGACGTGGCATCCTACTCCACACCTACATCATATTCTAGATATTCTCGTCTCCTCTAGGTGGACCTTTTGCTTGCTCTATCTCCTAAAGCAATGTTTAGTCCACTAACAAAGTGGTGCGTTCAATCGCTGGTATTGCGCATTGGCTACGTACTACGAAAGTATAATACAATCAGATTCAGAGCGAGGTCGATTGCAAGATAACAATATCCTTATAAATCTCATAATTCTAAATAAAACTTCTTCCTTTTCACTCTCAAGACTCCGTGAGGCGACCAATCCTTACTTTTTGATAAGGCCTCTCAAGTGATCGATCAGGGTGTAGGGATGTGTAGATCGGTGGCAGTATATCTACTTCATAGAACTAAGACAACACCAGACGAGACACGCGGCAATACCCGATCCGTTCACATTTCGCTGCGATTTCTAGCTAGTTATCTCGTCTTAATCAGTTGTCTTGCCATGCGACATGCTATCAGGGATATTTCCTGCTATTACATCAAGTCAGCGGACATCCCATCGTCAAGTGTATTTAAGTGATAGTCCCTCGCAGGACCACTTGTGAAGGTAAGGCTAAAACTTTTCTAACACAGCCTCTGTGTATTCCTACAAGGTGGTAGGTTAAATGTGGAATTAACTCAACCGAATGAACTCTATTCATGAAACAGAATGGGTCTTTATGGATCTATGAATCCGCTCAAAGAAATTCATATCTAAAAACAAGAATGAGCTGCTTAGTCGCTGCTCGGTGGATGGTTACTGGATAGGCTAAAACAACTCTCATTAATACCTATACGTAAAACAAAAACGCAGTGAGGAAGACTCATAAAAAGGCCGGCCAAGCCTAACCGAAGGTCTAGTGCGAAGGTGTGAACTAGCCCAACGAGTCATCCGTCAATAGAACACCGAGTCGAAGAATTATGAAATCGTATCACCCAAAATGGGTAACAGTCGGAAGTATATACTTAGCATAAGAGATATTTTTGATAATGAGATGCAGCTAGCTCGCTTTTTTATCACATTTCCAGTGCTTTTTTCGCTGAAGTGATGTTCGCACAGTTGTTAGGAGATACCTAAGCAATACTGGCGGCGCTGACTTTCTCCTTTGAATCGACTCGTTCAACTGGTGATACGACATCCTCTGATTTGTTCGTCCTTCTGATCACTATCACGAAGCATGTGCAGCCGATCACCAAGCTTGTTGAGAGCACTACCGTCCAGGCTGTCACGGTCATGTAGGGCGACAGGAATAGAACAATGCATGATGCGACGCACTGAAATTGCTCATATATTCAAATAAATAAAATAAATAAATAATAATATAATGATAAATAATAATTAAATAATGTGATAATAATATTCGAATAAATGAATAACTAAATATTTGGTTTGTCAAATGAATAACTATATAAATTGTTACTGCCAATTGCCCCAAGTGGGTGCACTCCAGATGAACTAAGAAGGGGGTTCGAATGGTCGAAGATCAGCATCATTCCCAACATGTTCTCGACCTGCCGTGAATGATTGATGGGCATTCAACCCAGATCCCAGTCACGCAACTTCTTCATACGAGAGAAGAGGAAAAACCTCCATCTCCTGATTCTCATGACAAGAGGCACACCCAGACGGAATTCCTTTTTTTGTAATTCACACCTTTGCGCGACAGTTGTCACAAGCCCGTACGCCAACTCTACAGGTTCCATAAATGAACTCTGCAGGCCGAAACCGACATCAATGACAAGTTCTTTTCCAAAAACTGACAATGAAGGTCTGCCATTAACTGGCTATATTTTCTAGGTTTCAGTCAGAGATTCTATAAGAACCAGCCTGTTAGGAATTGCGCCATTCTTTGTGGAAAACTATTCCGAGAGGAATTAATCGAACCTCCCCCAGGCCAGGCCTACGAAGTTCCCAGGACGGTAATTCAACGGAAAGATCTTCAAAGGGGTGTGGTGCAGTAGGAACGGAATTGTCGTGTCGCCGCGCGCGAAGGAATATAGCAGAATGTAGCGGCAGGTAAGAAATACAGGAACAAAGGAACTAACAGTAGAATCATGCCTAGAATAAGGATCGCTTATCGATCGATCTGTATGAAGAACGCTAGAGCTGTAGTAACGTCGAATGAATGGTCCGCGACAGCCGCGTGCGTGAATCGATTACAGAAAACCGTTCCTACTGCCTGTCTCCTCCCACCTCTGCCCCCAAATCAACTGTATGGGAGGAAATCAACAGTCTCAGCTTATTAATTTCAAATACAAACCTGGTATATTCTGGTTAATGAGAACACTTCTATACGATTCTCTGGCACAGCTTTTTGGCAAATCACAGCGCGAGCCATCGTCAACGTGTAGTCAGCCATACCCATTAGAAATCCGAATATGCACGCCACTGTACGGCTAAAATAGTTTTAATTTTGTGAAAATACGATAATAGAGATTTCGAGCTAAGGTACCCACTGGCAGGCTTCATGAAGCCGGTTACACCTAAAATCAGTTCTGTGGAGATTTTATTTGTTATGTTGTCTATTATTATCTGCCTATAAACGTTGGTAAGGTGGAACGAGGTCCGTCGGGGTTTGATAGTAACGAGGTTCGTCGGAGTTTGGTCAGTTGCTTTCATTGTTTTTACCAAATTGGTTTCAAACTTTCAGAAAAGATGAGACGAAACCGATACGGCTGCTTACATTATCGTCAAGGGAGGTTTAGGAGGCTCTTTATGGTCGCAATAGCTGTGTCAGATCCCCTTTTACTGGCTCACATTTTACAATCTCACTTTATCTCACACCTGTTTTTTGAGGGATACCTTTCTACTCTTTCACTTCTTCCCGTGTCCATTTTCTTCTTCACTTAACACGATATTAGAACAACACTGTGAAGAAGGAAGAGAGAGGAGGAGGGAAAATAATCCCTCTCTTAATCGTTGGCAGAGGGCCACAAAGAAAGGCACGGAGCACTAGAAATGGAAAGCAAAAATAACTAGTTATATTATGGGAGTGAAAAAACAACTTTTTCCAGAACCACAATGACGTCCTCAGCAAAACATACCCGGGTGTGAACCACAGTGCGCTCTCGTCAGTCGGCTCGACTGTTGCCACCTCCGGAACCGAGAGTTGAAATAGTACTAGTCCGGCTACTACAGTAACAAAGTGGAGGGCGACGGTGACGATCAGTTTATACGAATGGCATTTTTTGATAAGTGGCCGCACAAAAACTCCTCCTGCAATGAAAGAATTCGTGATTGTATTACTTTCGGAATGACTTTATTTTCATACTTACCGGATACTTCAGCTAATCCAGCAAAGACACTGTATAGGGCAACGATGTAGACGTCTTGAGCCAATGATGCAGTGAACGATAGTGTTGTAGGGTAGATACCGAGGAAAAATGAGACCAACAGTCCCATATGGAAGAAGGTAAATGTAAGTAAAATCATATTTGGATGAATTGACGTCTTGAGCAGTCCCTCTGAAAACATTCTCGAACTGGCATCAATAAGGGCATGGATGGAGTTTTGCGAACTCACTCATTTGATTTTTGAAGCTTGGAATAATTCGAGGCGAATTGCTGGCGATACTGTCATACTGTTTTGTGGGGAGTAAAGCAAAAATCACCGTTGAAATGAGTGACAATCCGAACAGTGTGCCGTAAATAGCCTGGAACAAAACACTAATATGATTTTTCCCTGAAAAACCGTGCCACTACTTTCGTACAGAACCTTTGCCTGCTTATGGGTCCAGTATACAGCAAATACTACATCGTAATTACTTCAAAAGTGAGATCATTAATGCTCAAAAGGACATTTTCGATCTATTCCCAACATGCCATTCATTGGTCAAATTTTGCGGAAACATTGCCACCACTAGTTGCTATCGCCTGCTAGAGCTCCATAGTGTGAGCGCTCCATAGTGCAAGCAGATCAGATCCCGCTCCCATTCTGTCTAATTCCAAGTACCCAGAGCACCCACTACTTCAGAGCAGCAAAAGAATAATACCTGAATGTGATGCTCGGAGAAAGATCGGAAATGGGATGCAATTTCTGAAGCTTCTGCTGGAAAGATTTTGAAGACGACCAATAATGCGATACCACCCACCAACATGCTGAAACCAAAGACAAATTGGAATAGTCCATAATTGCGAAATAGCAGTTAACTTGTAACTTTTGATTATTCAGCTTTTTAGAATCCCACGGGGAAATGCTAAATCTTCAAGTGGGTGCTCATATACCTCGTATGTCCAACAGCCGTTTCTATTCCAGTGTTTGACTCGACGGTTCTTCTTGACGAGTGCTCCGCCAGATATGCCCCTTCACCATTATTGTACACTAAAATTTTTGTGTTTCACGTTGTCTATAACTGCACAAATCATTCCCAGTTCCCAGTTTTGTTCCCAGTCAACATAGACTTGTGGGCAAAAGGAATCGCACTCACAAGAAGCTGCCAATCCCATCATAATTTGTGAAGCGTAGAAGTAATAGGAGTTGATATAGAAGAATCCCAAGTGATAAACTGCGAAGAATACGGTAGCCAAGACAAGCATCCATTTCGATGCCAGATAATGTTGAAGGGAAGCAGTGAAAAGACTTGATATTGCAAAGGCACTATAGTGAATTGCTTGCCTGAAAATAATGACTACGGTAATAGGGTACTGTAGTAAAATCGCATCACAAACAAAAAAAAATCTTGAATGTAAGTGTACGTTCATTTCAGGAAAATGGAATAAAGTACAAGACCTAGACTAATTTGTTTCAGACCTGACATCAAGGAACACCGAGAAATCATGAGTTTTTTTTTAAACTTGGGAACAAAGGTGAAAGTGGGTGTAGTTGAAAGTTCATTGACAAAAGGTGAATCCGAAAATTATGTTGGGAACATTCGAGACGGGATCATTTATTCTGTGGTTAATTTCAACGGAATAGACGAGTTAGGTGGGTTAGCTCAAAAAGTGGTGCGCTACGGACTACGGACGGAGAAAAAACAGTCATCGACAGCAGAATGAAACTTCCTAGGGTGAAGCTCACGGGTCAATTGGGCACCGTACAAACACAAAGGACGGAAGGCATCCTTTGTGATGCTCCCTATTATGCCCAGTTGAAGAGCTTTTCCCGTAACATAGCCACGCGTCGGTGCCCTGAATTTCTGATAATTTTCGTCGCTAAATTTGTCCAATATATGGGCATGCATATGTTTAGGGCATGATGCAATTGAACTGGGCTGGATGGCTCATTTTGGTGGAAATTCTGATAAATATGCACATAGCAAAAATGAGATGGGATCGCTCCAATGCTTGGACTAGCATTTATCCGTAGCCAACCTCTTCTGTCTTCTCATTCAATTTACTCCCATTTACTAGACCTGGTTGTCATCAATTCAAAGTTGCCTAATCAGACTATACTTCGAAAGATACTCTTGTTTCCTACTGAGTGATATTTTTACTTAAGGCCTAGCAGTCAAAATTTCGATAATTTTGGAAAAATTCATCCGCAGTGAGCTAGTGAAATAAACTGAATTGAAGTGACTTTACTTATCCTGACCATACAAAACGGATATCCTCCAGCATTCATGTCGATAAAAATGATCTTACCCGTAGTATCCAGCGTATCCAGATATTCTGTGAGGATCTCTCAGGTGAACAGAATGGATAATCGATTCGCTGATGAACGATTGAGTGTGGTAGCCAAGATAGAGGAATAAGGTACCGAAGCCCAACATATAAACCGAAAGCAATTCATGGCGGCGTGGTGTAAGCTGCATCTGAAAAAGACTCTCCAATGCTCTATACGGTGGACGGCAATATAGCGCATATGGAAACGAACAGCGCTCTAATTCAAGACAGATAGTTCCTAATCATTTTCACTGCGCCATGCATCTGAATGAAGGATGATTGCAAGGCACACCAACTACATGGCATTCTATCTACTGTAATGTACTGTCAATATAGGCGGAGCAGTTGTAAATGTTGGCAAGAAGGTACTCAGTTGGATTGTGAGAGAACTCGGATCATTAAAATGAAAAGTTTTTGTACATCTGGTCCAAAAAACGTGTTTTCTGTTATGCTCCAGAGAGCGTTTAAATGGGAAATAAAGAAATCACTCGAGTTCACTTTTCTTTTTTTTTATCTACGATACTTTAGAGACAAATCGCAAGTTCAAAAATCCAAATTAAAATAAATGTCAGTGTGAAGGCGAACGATTCTGGAGTCAGTCAAGGAAAAGCTGCTTGAGGTGAAGATCAATGATAGCTGCAACAAGTACGTGGTAGTAAGGATAGATTTGGCACAATGTAACGAATAATGATGATGTGACACGATTATGACGGACGTTCTGATAGAATCCCTAAGGAGGACAAACGACGACCAGGACAGGGCCTCTTCAAAAAGGCCTTGGATGAAGGAATGCTCTGCCTAGTGTCCTTCGAGAGAGAACGATCCAATGACTGCTTTGTCTCGCGACAGGGACAAATAAACATGTTGCTGGAGCCAGCTCGAGAAAATCGATTATCGATGGAGCTACAGGAGATGTAAGTGATACCGATAAGGATTGATCAAGACAAATTCAGAATCATAAACGTCTCTATCCCACTTCTAGACGCTTTAGCAAAGGAGACAATGGGTGGAAGCATGGCACCTAATAGTAAGACCTTTGTTAACGAATTGTTCTCAGCTGAGTGACTTAGAATTCAAACATCATATTTATTCAGAAATCATCACGATTCTCAATTGAAAGATTATTTCATGGCACTTTCTTGAAGAGCACAAGCTACCGCAAAGCGTTGTGACAATTCTCAAAACCGTACAAATGTAATGTCATCAAATCCAGACGTTGTTTTGGTGGAAAGAAACAAAAGGAAGAGAGATAAACTTGCTTCGAGCCTTCTCCTTTATACGATCATCAGGAATCCCTTTTATTTTTGCGACTTTTGTAATGATCCATGTCAGCTGGTCACGGCATTAGTGCGACCGTATGACAAAAAGCGCCTTAGTTAGCGAATGCTAGATTAATTGAAATGGGAGAAAGTGATTTTTTACTTTCGAATTTGAAAGATGAATAGGTCATTAACCAGGAAACAAGTCTGCCTTTTCACCTGATGTGGTTCCTGGGCTTACATAATAATGCCCGTTTCTGTCCCCAAATTACTCTTCAACGCCCTAATAATAACTTAACGTGAAACTGGGGAGAGGGATCGAATCCGCTCTGAAATGGTTTCGGCTATCGAATTTCATTGGGAACTTGACTGTTTTTGAATAGGTATTTACCTCATAATATAGCGCGTTTTTAGAATTCGGGGCTCTTACTATTATCCCAGATAGGCCTGCTGACAATTACCAGATCCCAGAGCGATAGAGCTTACACTACATCCAAGGACCTAACAAAGCCCTCATCGGAGCAGTTACCTACGTAGACGCTTTTTCGAATTTAAAGTGATCATGAATGGAATGGCATCGAGAGGGATTGTACGAAGGGACGTGAATGACCTGAAAATTTCAGTGACAAGTAAGTACACTGTCCTATGAACTTTCATTCTGGGATGCGGTACTGATCACTAAGTCAAAGGATCAGTCACGTTCTGGTCTGGTGTAGGAATGAACCTGTGACCCTCAAGAGTGGCACAGCGGATGTTGTCAACTACAGTTTGGAGTAGAAATCGAATGCGGCACGTATCCCAAATAGAATCATCGGTGGAAGATTTTAGCCATTTGTTACCTCCATTGCCCCATTAACCCTCGTTTTCATATTTCCGTTACCTACTTCCCTGATGCCAGAGTAATTATCTGGTAAATAAAATACTTAGAAATTAAAGCTGAATCTTTTTTAAGGTGTGAATGAGTTCAGAGAATCATAGCCATGACGATATCAAAACGATCGGCAGTTCTGTGAATGTACTTCCAAACGCCAGGAGTTATCTTCGCACTGGGAACTGTCGACTATTTAACGAATTCATTCAAAAAAATACCCTCTCTCTGTTGAAAAAACAGCAGTTTTTTTTTCAGAAAACTGATGGTCATATAAGAACGCCTGTAACCCATTTGGAGGACCTCTTACGGTAATACCGTATACATGGTCAATCCGAGCGGATTTCGCTGTTCTTCGAGCCACCATTTATTCTCCAGCAAAACCCGATATTCTTTCCGAAAGCAAAAGGTCAACTGAGAAAGTTGAGGAAGCTGTTCTAGCAGCCGTTACTTAATAAGAGTGAGGGAAGCAGACAGCGGACAGGATTCGTGAAAGTTTCAAGGAGTGGAAAACGGTCTCAACTCAAACCTTCTAAAAAGACAACCCTACAGCCAAGCACTTTGTAAAATGCGGAATCCTCGGAGTGCTTTTTACAAAACCTCATAGGAATTGAATGATGTGCAAGTAATGGTCCTTTTCTACCAATAGAGATCTGGAGGAGGAGTCAGTCCAGTAAGAAATCAAGTTGAGCGAAATTCATCTACAGGTTTGTATCCTGGGTCTGTGTGGAGCAACGGCATCACTTGGGAAATCACACAAAGCGAAATCTTCAAGAAAAGAATTATCCAAATTGCGTCAATATTCCAATTCATTCAAAAAAGAGCCTTGCTACAGTCAGGCAAAAAAAGTTCACTTGGTCAATTGCCCTGTGTAATGATATCCGTTCTTTTCAGTGAAAAAATCACCGCCACTCCCATGGACGTCACTGCATCGGGTGTCCAGAAGTTCAACTTTGGATATCGCACTTTCTAGAAAAAACAGGTTGTTCAGAAGTAGCAATAGTGTTCTTCAGTGCTACCAAACTCAGGGTAGGTGAAATTTCCATCTGATGGGAATATAGCCTCGGCTTTATGTACATATAGGTTTAGGTAGAGCTAAACCTTCTTATGGATTCCCCAGATATGAACGGGCTGGCGTGAAAGTACGATAACTCCCGTGTGGGTTGTCCGTAGAGGAAAAGTCCGTGCAGCCAGAAGTCTCACAATCAGATTGTCTTCGAAAATTCGCTCTTACGAAGTAACTTGTCCTAGACACTGCTTTGGCCCTGTTCCAATTTTTTCATATGAACTCCCTTGAAATGAAAGCTAAGGGCGACCAACAGAATCTGCATACTCCCAAGACCAATTCCCTACCACTTTCATCTAATCCTCCCAGATGGATTGGTCTTTCAACTTTGCTACTTTGATCAATCGTAGTTGGCCAGATGGAACAGTGAAACTGTGGGTACTTCATCAACAGTCTTCACCAAGTTGCAACCACTTTGAGCAAGTATGCGAATAGCATTCTGAGCTAATTGGATGCGTGGCGTATCCTTAATCGGTGGTATTCCCCGTCAAAGACGCCTTCACTTTAGGATTCCTTTTTCTAAAACTTATCTCATACCGTAATTCGTGTTCAAAAGCCATTTTTCAAGAGACCTACCCCGTATCAAATAGCAGCAACAGTAAATCACCCCAACTGTCATCTTGGAAGTGAACGTTCCACCCTGATATCACCGATAACTGGATCCTTTAAGGGCACATTTGGCGAAGAACATTACAAATACTGTTACTAAATTGAGAAAACCTTCCGTCACACAGTGTACTTTAAATTGGCCGGTAGGAAGTAATCACTTGATTTCAAACTGTTTTGTAAGAAGACAGATCTTTTGAGAAATGGCTGAACAATTTTGGAAAAAAAAATAGATCAGCATCAGAAAGCCAAAAAAATCCTTCCGACCAGTACTACGATGTCAATCACATCATCCACGCGGAAGCTTCCTACTGTATGTGCTGGGAATTTCGCGATATTTCAAAACTAATCTAGAATTTTCTGGGAGTTTTCATGGGGTTACTGTAAGAGACACTGCTGATCCGTAAGCGCATAACATAAACCCCGGTCCTTCCTTGATTAGTCAACCAGTGGGTAAACTGTCTCAGCACATTCCTACACTACTATTTGATGAGCTTTCTAATTTTTATCACTATTATTGAAATAATTTTCGAATTTAGCCACTCCCTGAGGCCCACAAAAAATTGTGTCAAGGATTCGAAACCCCTGGAAAGCCGTTCGATGCTCGCTTGTGCATCCATAGGCTCGATCTGTGAACCGGAAGGTGGAGATGTTGCTGGATCCGGTGGTCCAACTCCAACTCCAACTATGGACGTATATCTTATCTGTGTACAGTTCAGTAATGTCCTCTCATAGTGTCCCTGAACTTCCAGAACATTCCAGAAAAAGAATTTGCAAAATTTCCGCAGACACTTTACGTAAACTCTAACACCTAAAATGTATTTTTAATATCGAAATAAAGAGAGTGGCCTCCCAGAAGGACGTCGCCTTTGCCAGAACCTAGGCTTGCTAAAGTTTCAAAGCATTATATCTATTAATTCGCTTGTACAAGGGATAGGGCTAAGAAGAGATGTCGAGGAACATGCAAATATATGTCGGCCACCGCGGAATGAGAGGCAGAACGCCGGCCTACACTTGATATGTAGTCCAGACGTTGTCATTTCCGCCTGCTACGCTTTATCGCATGGAAAGTGATACCTTGACGGATACGATCCATGTGAAACAATAGAAATCGCATAGTTTAGAATCGATTTCGTGTCTTTGATGATCCTACACGTCACAGTTGTCAGTTTTGAGATCAAAAGAGCGAATACCAAAGGATGGTCAGATTGTTTTTGCCATATTGCCCTTTTACTTCTGTAGAACTAATGAATTGAGAAGATTTCTATATAAGGTCTTAGGAAGGGTTCAGCTAAACTGTCATTAGAGTCTTTTCGAACTGGTAAGTTTCGCAGAGCAGGGTTCTCCATA